ACTCGAATTAAAACAAGACACCGCTTCGGCAGTTATTTATAGGTCAGGATGCCGCCCGTCCCGGCAGCTGAGGAAGAGGTGGCACACCGGGCCCCGAGGCTCTGAGACGGCCTGGTGAGCAACCCGACGTCCTGCTCCGAAGCCTTTCAAAGCCCCCGCTCGGATTCAAAGACCCCTGTCCCCATCCCGCTCTGGAATCGCCTCACGGGAATGATGGCCTCTCCACACACAGGCTAGGGGACCCGGCCCCGGCTCACGCATCCTTAAGAAAGGAAAACTGGACTGAGCCGCAGGTCCGGTCAGAGCGCGGGCTGACTTCTCATGAGACAGACACGCGCGGCAGCGGAGGCGGGTTTTCTGAAGAAATGCTGAGAGGTGTGGGCAGATCCTTACCCAGAGGAAGCGAAAATGTCACCGCAAACACACCTGGACCCTCACACGGGAAGTACTGCCCAAACCTGGTGGGACTACGGGTAAATACAAATCTAATTATCTGTATATTTCTGTCGATATATCCAATTTCCTCTTATTAAGACAAATTCTTGCCGGTGCTGCGGCTCACTAGGCTAATCCTCCGCCTTGCGGTGCCGGCACACCGGGTTCTAGCCCCGGTTGGGGCGCCGGATTCTGTCCCGGTTGCCCCTCTTCCAGGCCAGCTCTCTGCTGTGGCCAGGGAGTGCAGTGGAGGATGGCCCAGGTGCTTGGGCCCTGCACCCCATGGGAGACCAGGAGAAGCACCTGGCTCCTGCCACCGGATCAGCGCGGTGCGCCGGCCACAGCGTGCCGGCCGCAGCGGCCATTGGAGGGTGAACCAACAGCAAAAGGAAGACCTTTCTCTCTGTCTCTCTCTCTCACTGTCCACTCTGCCTGTCAAAAAATAAAAAAATACAAAAAAAGACAAATTCTTTTTTATAATCAAGAAACACAATCAAGATTATCTTAAGGTTTATGCGCTGATGTCAGGGGGGTGTCAAAGAGAGAACAAAAAGCCCTCCCTGGAGTCATGGAGTCACAAAGACAAAGGGGGGTGGTGCTGGTGGGATAATTCAGAGAAAGAAACATGTTCCAAATCATCCCTGTCCAATGTGAAAAACGTCCACCATTTATTTAATTATAGCCAAGTGCAACGAAAAACTCAGTTCCTTCTTCGAGGCAGCCATGCTGCAGGTGCCCAGCTGCCCTCGGTGCTAACGCCAACCCTGCGAGACGGCGAGGAGGGCAGGGCAGGGCTTCCGTCACCGGGAGGTCCGCGGGGCAGCGCAGCGCTGGCCAGGCCTCAGGGACCCCGCGCTGCCCCGTCCCCCCAGTCTCAGCCCTGCGTGCCCCGTTCCCAGGCTTCGTGCTCCAGCAAGAACACGGGAGCCCCGTGAGAACGGGACCGCATCTGTTCCCCCAGGCTGGTGGGGTGGGCACATCCTCTGGGCAGCTGGCCACAGTGGTACCTGGCCTCACGGGCACTGGCTGCTGAGAGCCAACCAAGTCAGCCTGCAGTTCAGGGAAGCCTTCCTGGAGGAGGAGGGGGAGGCACTATCCAAACAGCAGAGAATGAGGAGAGAAAAGATCCCAGTGCAGGCACAGCAGGGAGGAGGGAGGGGCCGGGCCAGGCCGCAGGCACTTCTGGGGACACTGTGAGGGTCCCCGTCCTCCCATCACAATGCTGGGGCACCAAGGGAGGGCGGGGCAGGGTTGGGGGCAGACAGAGGGGACAGAGAGGGCCCTGGACTCCAGGTTAAGGGTTCTGGTTGTGCGGCTTCTCCCTCCACAACAGCCCGCCTCCCAGCCTCGGTGGGGCCGGAGCCCCACGCCCTCTCCCCACGCCCTCTCCCCGGGCCCCACAGCCGCGCTGGGCAGGGGAGAAGCCCTCAGGGTGCCCGCAGCAGAGGGCGCGGTCCAAGCTTCAGCCAGGCGAGCGGCCGGGTTTAAGAACAGAGGTGGGAGTCTTGCCGGGGGCATGGGGGTGAGGGGTGACTGGAATCACCCAGAAGAGGAGGAGGGGGCTGAACAAACGGCAGGGCCGACGGGAGCGACGTCGGAGCCCGAGAACGCGCTCCAAGTTCCCGAAACGCCTGGGAGGCAGGAGCCCCGAGCCGCCGCACGGTGGGCGCCTGGGCTGGGGGCGCCCCGAGGTCACGGGGGTGGGGGGCGCCCAAGCTCCGGCGGAGGGAGGCGTCCGCGCGGGCCGGGGGCCCTGGGCTTCTGCAAATGCGAAGGCCGGGCGCCAGGCTGGGCGGGGCCGTGCAGGCAGCAGGTGCGCGGGCACCCGGGGCGCGAGGGTGGGTGGCCGAGGGGCAGGGGCCTCCGGGACAAGGAAGACCTCACTTGAATGAGGGGGCTATTTCTCGACCTTGTCCTTGACATTTACGGGACGTTCTCCCCCGCGAACACCTGCCGAGGCCCGCGGGGCGCCAGGACAGCCACCGCACCGGCGTCCGTCGGGGGCCGCGGCCCGGCCCTCTCACCCTGCCCCTCCCGCTGCGCGGCCCCGGGGCCCCCTCAGACAACCCCCGGCCGCTCGGCCCCGGCTCCTCGCTGGAGCCCGAGTCTCCGCCGACCCCCTCCCACACCGCAGCCTCCCGTGCTCGGCCCCCTCACACCGCCACCCCCACACACACGTGGCTTCCGCCCCTCCCGGCTGCACCCCTCTCGGGCCGCGATACCTGGGGCTCTCGAAGCTGCACCCCCTGCGCCGCAGCGCCGCCCTCTTCTGCCGCAGGAGCGCCGCGGCCGCCCCGCCGGGCTCCGGCTCCATCGCCCCGGGCGGGGGCCTCGGGCTCGGGCGCACTCGGGTGGGCTCGGGCCTCAGCGGGCTCGGCCGGCCGCTCGGCTCGCGCGCCGCAGCCCACGCCCCGCCCCGCGCCCCTCCGCCGGCCCAGGCCCCGCCCCCGCCCGGCCCCGCCGCGGGCTCCGGCCCCTCGGGCTGCAGCCCAGCCGGCCCCTCGCCCCACAGCCAGGCCCAGGTCCTGACCCGCCCCGCCCCACCCGAGCTCCAGGCCTGTCGGCCCCTCGCTCCAGCCGGACCTGGGCCGAACTACAGCCCCACGGACCCCCAGCTCCTCAGCCGGGCCCCGCCCCAAACTCCAGCTCAGTCAGCCTTTAGTCGGGGACCAGGCCCCGCCCCAGTCCCGCCCTACCCCGCCCTGAGATTCGGTCCGATCGACCCCTCGCCCCTCAGCCGGGCCTAGGCCCCGCCCTGGCCCCGCCTGCTCCGAGCGGACCAGGCCCCGCCCCGAATCCAGCCCGGCCCACCCCGCACCCCTCTGACGGGACCAGCCCCGCCCCGGGCCCGCCCCTAGCTTCCGCTCCCTCGGCCCTACGCCTGTTAGCCAGGCTCTGGCCCCGCCCCGGCCCCGCCCCGAATCCAGCCCTGCCCGCCCCGCGCCCCTCTGCCAGGGCCAGCTCCGCCCCAGGCCCGCCCCTAGCTTCCGTTCCCTCGACCCCACGCCTGTTAGCCAGGCTCTGGCCCCGCCCCGGCCCCGCCCCGAGCTCCAGCCGCACTTCGGGTTTCTCTGGCCGGCTCGCCACACCCCTGGAGAACCCACAGGCCTCGTACACCCCACCCAACTGTCCGCCCACGGCTCTGGTCCTCTGGCTTCTCGCCCTTCAACACGGACCCAGGCCCGCCCATCTGCTACTGAGCTCCCGCGCGGCGCCCCCTCCTCACTCCAGCCCTCCTGGCCCCATCTATCATAGCCCCGCCCCATGTTAGGGCCGCTCTTCCCGGAGTCCCGCCTACAGGCACGACCCCGTCCCTTCCTCTCCCGGGTGCCCCAGTCAGCGGTCATCCCCGCTCGTGTCCCAGGCCGGTCAGGGCTCCACCACAGCTCCGCCGCGGCGGGTAGGAGTGCCCCGCCCACAGCGCCAGAGGCTCCGCCCACCGGGCCGCGCCCTCCCCCACTCCGCTCACCCCTGGGTCCTCCTGGCTGCAGGCGTCCGACATTGGCTCGGGGTCGCTCCATCCACCTAGGGGAGGTACCGCTGTGTCCTGCGCGCAGCGAGGCTGAGGGGCTGGCGCTTTGCAGGCTGCACCAGCCGCGAGTTCAAGTACTGACTGGTCACTATCCAACTTTGGGACCACCCCAGGTCACCCCCCCACTCCCCGCAACCACCACCACCATCCTCACTCCCAAAGTCAGATGCATCGTCTCAGAGCCCTCAAACTGCACTGCGGCTAAGGATAAAGCTGGGGGGTCAGCCGTGCCATCTGAATCCCAAGGAGATGGGCTAGGGCTCCCTCTGCAAGCCGGGCTTGGTCACACACACACCGAGGGAAGCGTGGCCGCGAAGGCGGGCCTGGAACGGGGTGGTGGTGTAGGGCCCATGAATGTGCTCCGAGAACGGGCCACTGGCGCTTTGGAGCCTGAGGCCAGCAGGACCGGGGGACCCCACAGTCAGCCCGGGTCACCCGCTTCCCAGGGCACCCGTCGCCCCCCAGGGACGTCCAGGTGCTTTCTGTCCAGGCCTGGCCTGCTCTGCTGCTGCAGGTGCAAAGTGGAGGTGCGGGCGCAGAGAGAAGGAATGGGGTGCTGGACAAGGAGCCCGGGGGAGCCAGGGGAGAGAGACGTGAGACGCCAGCTCCCCTCCCCACGCAGCCCCTGCCCTCAGGTGTGCGTGGGGCAGGCCTTGGGATCCTCTCCCTTTTCTCCCAGGCAGGCTGGCGGGGGCTTCCAGGAAGCCCTCCCCGCCTTCTGTTTCTTTCCGGCCTGGACTCTGCCACTCCCGCGCCTGCTGCTCCCCATTCTCCCTGCCTCTTCCGCCCTGCAGGCTCTCAGGGGAATCTCCCAACGGCCCCGGCCCCGGCCCCGTGGCTTCCCCAGGTCCTCACCCCAGCCCCGTGCCCAGGCGCTGTCCCCGCCCTGTCCGAGGACACCGCTCCTCTGTGTTTCTTTCATCCTGGTCACCTCCCGGCTGAGCTCCGGGCGTCCCATGCCTCCTCCACGCTGGCGTCTGGCGCAGCAACTGTTTGCTAAGGAACGCGTGTGAGTTTAATAAACTGAGCGACAGTCATTGGAAAACACATTTAATTTCCAAGTAAACAAAGATGTTTGTACATGAAAGTCTTTCATTAGTGAAACAATTATTATCAGAGTAACGAGCTGAAAAATACAGCAACTTGGTACAAGACTGAGGTAACAAAATACTTCACACCAAGAACCTAGAGAACGCCACAGAGGGCTGCCGCCCGGCGTGGCTGGCTGCGGCGCGGAGGTTCACAGGGACAAAGTGCACACACAGCTGCATGCGGGGGGCTGCCCGGGGCAGAGTGCAACAGAGCCCACGGGGAAGGAACGGAAATGCAGAGACTCGTAAGCAACGGAAAGCTACGCTCCGCGCCACATTTTGAATGCTAATTGGAAAACCATGCATTTTGGCACGAAGATTTACTGAAGATTATACCATACTAATAACTTAAGTACTATTGTTTCGTTACCGAAGGGTCACAGTCGTTCAGAGATGGGGCGCGCTGCGAGCAGGACTTCGGCGCTGCCCGAGGGGGCCACAGTCTCCTGCGGCCCACGCCCTGAGGCGGTCTCCAGTCCGGGCTACAAGCTCCCAACGCCCAAGGGAACGCGGCTCTTGCCCATACTGCACTTGTATTTAACACTGACTTTTTTTTTTTTTTTAAGCCTACGACATAAACACTGTGAACGTTCAGACCCAACTCTCTCCTTGCACGGATGGACTCGCTCCGCTCCCGGCTGCTCGGAGCCAAGCGGCCCTGGGCCAGCGCCTCGCCTGGCCCTCACTGCCGCTGCCTTGCGAATCCAGAGGCCGGTCAGTCTGTCAAACCCTTCTGAAGCCTTTCCAGGGAAATCTGCTCGAGACTGTACCCCGTGCCCGGAGAGAGCAGGGGCTGGGTGGGGGGACTGCCTTGTTCAGGCCCATGAGGGCGGGGCTGGGTCTGTCCTGGCACACAGGAAGCACTGGCAGGGGTGTGAGTGAATGAACTGTGCAGACGGCCTCTTATTTCTAAGGGACTCTTAGAGGGGTTTCTGTTTCTTGCCTTTTTAAACATGAAATCACTCAACATGTCAGTCGGCTGGAGGGCTAAAAAGTCACTTCTGGTGTCACCAAAAGGAAGCCCTGGTTTTGGCAACGTCCACCTGGTGGCTGCCGGCACCTGCAGCGCGGGCACAGAGCTGGGCCCCACGCGAAGACTACAGCGGACCTGGCTGTGCGAACGGCCTCCTGTTTTCATGGACCACCTGTGAGATACACATCTCCTGGGCTTGGGAGGTGGGAGGCCATGATCAAAGACATATTGGCCATCTCAGTGAGAAAGGGGAAAATCAAAACTATCAATTCAGCTGGCGAGGGAGAGCAGGTCTCCCCTAGTCAGAGTCCCCCAAGTGTCACCCCTTCACGTCGCACAGTCCGACGGGGCGCCCAGTGTGCTGCCGGCCAGGGAGGAGGGGCCTGCACGCTCACCGGGCAAGTTAAGGGCAGGATTTCTGCTGCCCTCCCCCCAAATCCATCCTCTGCAGGGTAGCTCAGCTGCCTTGAGTTACAAAATGCATTCCACTGAGGGCCAACAAAGGACTTCCAGGGAGCGGCGGGTGTCTTCCTGGGACAGAGCCACCAGCTGCCTATTCCACAGGCCATGGATACTTCTCTATATCTTTCATTTTGGGGGTGCCATGATCCATTGCTTAAAAACAAACCACCTGCACCCTATTCCACAGAACGCCTCCAGTGGTTTCGCCAACGTTTGCGCGTGGTGGCCAGCCAAGGAGCCACACACAGAGGAGCTTTCTTCCAGGCTGAGTCCACCTCCAGATCTCCCCCGCGCCCCGGCTCACAGGCCTCCGCGTCCGCAGCGCGAGGACCAGCAGCACGGCGCTCGCATGCTTGGCCCGAGCTCCCAGGCAGAGCCGATCATCACCCGGCTCCGTCCCAGGCACTCTTCTGCAGTAGTGGAGGCTCCCACGTGGCGCTACGAGGCTCTGAGCCAACAATGTCTAACCAGATTCTCCAAGAGTCCAAGCTAAGAACGTCTCTGGGAGGGGATGAGGGATCGGTCCCAACTCGTGAAGAGACTGAACACTGAATTGTGGTTGTGCCATTTCAGATTAGCTCAGAACAAAGTGCTCATGACAAAGAAGAACGACCAGAAGACAGTCTGACTTAAGGGAGCCCAAGATTCCGGGGTTTGGGGACTGCCATTTGTGTGTGCCCCACAGGGCAGTGGGAAGAGTGGAGAAACTCAAGGAAAACAAGTAGCCGATGTTCTGATCCGAACTTAAGACAGAATCAGATTCAAGGTAGGGTAGGTATGAACGCTGCGTGGTTCCGGGCAGAGGTGTCTGGAGCGGCTGGTGTTGTCACGCAGATCCCCGCGGCCCATCTGAACTCACTGGTAGAGCTGGGTGCACGCGTCCAGGCCCCGGCTAGGGGTGGCTGTGCACAGCACCTGTGGCCAAGGTTTGGTGCGTCCACTTTGCCATCTGGATGGACGTCCCTAGTCTTTGCTTGAACAGGGGGCTGGTTTCCGAGCACAGCCAGGCTCAGCTGCAGAAGGCGATCCTGACGACAACTCCTTTCCTAACCGGATCGCTCCAGTCTGTCACCATGTGAGCCCAATCCAGTGGCGGGTCCTATTCCCGGTTCCTGGCATAGATGCTGATGGCGTGCGTCTCACCCAGGAGCTCTGAAGGGTGGTTTGATGCCTGGAAGATGTGAACTTGGAAATCACCATAGCAATGGGGACCAGAAACTCGGTCTCTTTCAGAAAACTGCTTTGGGGTTTCCTTCTCCCAGTTAGGATATCCGAGCGAGAGACAGACAGACAGACAGAGGGGAGGAAGGAAAAGGAAGATGAGGGGGTGGGGAGGAAGAGGAGGGAGAGAGAAGCTATGATGACAGAGGAACTTATTATTTTGAATAAAAATGTATTTGTGCAAAATAAAAGGTGAGCGGTCAAGGCTGACATTTGTGGGAAGAGCTCCTAACTGGACGCAGACGCTGGACGGTTCACTCCCTGGCTTGGCTCTCCGGTCACATGGCCATCACCGATGGTGCCCTTGGACTTGGATGAGGAGGACTTGCTGGTGACTGCATCTGGGGGCAAGACTGGAGGAGCTTAAGGCCTCAGTGTCACTCAGCTCCCCGGCGTGATGATCAGGAGTCCCGGCGGGGTCCTGTCCTGGCAGTGCAGGCAAATGGGGGAGATGAGGGCATCGGAAGCCTCGCCCTGCGGGGCCAGGTTGGTGCCACGTGGCTTCTGTGCACCCCAACTCTGTGAGCTCCGTGGCCTCCAGGCTGCTTCCAGGGAGAAAAATGTCGCAACCTCCCATCTGGGCGTGGTGGGGCAGGGAGAGGAGAGAAGGGCTCCAGGCCCTGCCAAGAGGGGGCACAGGAGCAAGCGAGCTGGCCAGCGGCCCAGTCCACAGTCCTGGGCCAGGTCCTGTCTCAGAAGGGCTGACAGCGACAAGGCCTGGAAGGGCCCCAGGGGCCCAGGGAGCAGGCCTTCCAGATGAATAGCACCCATAGGGACAGAAAACAAGACACGAGTTAAGGCATTGTTTGTTTACAGTAAAAGAACGCAAGGGACCCTTAACACAGGAGGAACCTGGGCTCGCTCTCGGCATTCATGGAGGACAGGGTTAAAGCGGGCCTCAAAGCGAACGAAGTGTGTGATGTCACCAGTCTCGTGCCAAAATGCATGTTTCTCCGAGTTCACACCTGCTCGTGCACGTTGTACAAAATCTGTACAGAATCTGCGGCGGCGCCGTGGGCGAGCAACGCCGTGTGTCGTTGGGTTGTGACAAGCCTGCGGCACAGCCTGTCCCTGCTCCCTGGCCCCGCTCGCCGCCACGCGCCGCTGCTGGCCGCTGTCCACTCTGCGTGCGGCGGGAAGCACGGAGAACCCAACGCGGGCCGACTGCGCTCCAGCGGCAGAAGCAGCTGGTGGACGGACGAAGACCCAGAGTCAGAGAGCGCAGGGCGGAGAGTCTGGGGTCCAGCACCGGCCCCCGCGGGGTGGCGCCGCGGAATGAGTGTCATGAGTCGCTGGGGACTGACAGGTGGATCCTGCACTGGGGGAGCCCTCGGGCGCTGTGAGGCCGGCGCAGGCCGTGCCCCCGAGTCTGGCTGGGGGGGGGGCCCAGCGCCCTGGCCCCAGCCTGTGCCCAGGACTGCTCTTCACCACCAGGCCCGGGCTGGGCTCCCAGAAGCCTTTGCAGTCACGCCAAGTCCTGCAGAGACTCATTCAAACGACATAAGGTTTGCAGGTACCTAGAAGAGAAAGCTCAGCCTCTTGTCAAAGTTCCTACCTCTCAGAAAGGGCCAAGGGGCGTTCTTTAGGAGAAGGGGCAGGTCGGGGGAGCGGGCACAGTGCTAACGACAGCCAGCAGGTGTTCAGTGACCATCCTGTGCCGGGCACTGCTCTGAACTCCTCAAATGTGCCAGGACCTCGAGTCCTCCCATCGACCCCGCTGGGCAGGTGCCGGGAGCACACCCATTATGAAGATGAGCAAACTGAGGCTTAGAGAGGCTACGTGTCACAATAAGTAAGCCCAGGCTCTCAGCCACTGTCCCATGACCAAAACAAGCCTGTGCCTGGGGTGGGGAGGAGACGAACCCAGCAGGAATGGGGCCAAGGCCCCCGGGGGTCAAACCAGAGAGAGGGGTGTGGTCGGGAGACGGAAGTCTGTACGAGGAAGCACAGGAGGAGGAGGAGAAAGCTTGGGAATACTGGGAACCCCAAGACCTCCCCACTGCTGGGCCCCAGGACCGGAACCTGGGAAGATCCCAGCCCTGAGGTCAGAGTGGTTCCGCTTCTGGCCCAGCGGCCCTCAGCCTCCCAGCCCCGGGACGCCTACCCCAGCACTGTGGTGGGTTCCAGATTTGAACAGGATTTCATGCAAATAAACCCAACCGGGTGTTCACTTGCTCAGAATGATAAACTGGAAAAAAAAAAAAGTGTGTCCTTGTGCGCAGGAGACTGTTGTCAGAACGGCCACGGCAGTGCTGCCGGCAGGAGAAAAGGCAAGACGGCGAGGGTCACTCGCCAAGAGCGCGGCGCACGAGCAGCTCCCAGCGGGCTGGGCGGCTCCAGGCGCCACAGGGACTGACTGATGGCCCGAGGTGGGCCCCCTGGGTGGCAGTGGGCTGGGCGGAGTGACAAGGCAAGGCCTTAGCTTCTGCCCTGTGGTAGCAGAAGAATGGGTTTGAAAACTCAGTACAAATAAGCGGATGACAGCGCCGTGGAAATAAGCGGATGACAGCGCCATGGGTGCAGAGAGATGTCGGGAATGCATGGGAGGAGACTCCAGGTCACTGAAGAAATGTGCGGCTCTGGTTCTATTTATAAAAAAATAATTGTAAAAATGCACCAAGATGACGCAGGGAGGAATCCAGTGTGTTCTCTGAGATGGTGAGCGGTGAACGCAAGGGGGGGGGACAGAAGTAGGAGGAGGCCTGTCGAGGAGGGGGGGGGTGTTCCAGGGCCCCGGGGATGACTGTGTTTAGACGGGGAGCTAGGTACGCAGGTGCGTGCTCACTGCTGTGTTTACATCTTACACGGAGGACATAACTGAAGTGGACTCAGTGTTGGCTAAGCTCAGCATTGAGAAATGCAGTGCTGGGATTCCCTGTGCGAGCAGGTGTCTTCCCGGCACCTGCCGTGCCCTCCTTGCGCCCCTGTAACTGGCTTGGATGACCCTCGGCTATCCGATTCTTAGGGTATTGCCAACGTTTTCTTACCTACGTATAGCCCAGAGTGGGAACACTTGGTGGAAACTAAATTAGAAATAAAAAGGGGAAAATGAAAAATATTTCCTCCCCAGGTCTGAAGATTGGACAAAAAGACTTTAAATTGCAAGACCTTGCTGTGGCACTGTGCATCTGCCAGTACCTGAAATTCCATCCTCTGTCCTTCCAACCAAAACCACCCCTCCCAGTGGGTTCGCCCCGCCCCCTCTGCCCCCACCTGCTGTAGAGCGGCTGCTGGCTGCTGCCCTAGACAGGGACAAGGGGTTCTTGCTCAGGGCCCCCTGGCTATTCCTGCCAGGTGTCAAGGCTGCCGGCACAGACAGGGCAGAGACCAAGCCTTGCTCCGTCCCCGCCCCTCACCCTGCCTCTCCTTCCTCCTGCAGCCAGCTGGCCACCTGGGAGCTGTCAGGGCCACCTGTGAGGCACCTGCGCGTGGCTTCAGTGTGCTGTGCTCTTAGCGGTGCTCATGGCTCATGAGGGCCCCCAGGCACAGCAGTGGGAGCAGGCGGAGGGGCTGCCCTCTTGGAGGACAGGGAGCTGAGGTGCAGCCCCTGGGTCCTTCTGACCCACCTGGGGATAGCTGGCGGCCAGAATCCCCGGTCTTCCCTTCCAGGGACAGACCGCCACCTTGGCTTAACCTGCAATGGTATGAGAGCAGTCTGGCAATGACAGGCTTGGGGTGGCCGTGTGTCGTTTTCCAAATGCGATATGCACAGACCTCCACAAGGTTGTGAAGTGGAATTCTGGTGCAAAACGTTTTTAAACCCACACACAGCTCTTCCCATGAACGTTCCGGAGGCTTCTCGCGGGCCTGGACACAGCGGGGACCCGGCTTTCGCAGCGCTGGCCCCCTGGCTCCGCTACCTCTACCTGGTGCTCCTTTCAGGCCACCACACGCCCACCTCCCATCAGGGGTCACACAATAGGGGTCTCCTGAAGGTGGCACAGGTGCTGGGGCCTGTGTCGAGGACAGTGCTGCAGGGGACATTCTTGGGCGTATGTTTTGGAGGTCAGGAGTGAGCACATCCCCGAGGCAAATTCCTAGCAGTCAGGGAAGTGTCATGGCAGGTGCCGGCACCCCTCCCCCGCCATATGGGTGCCAGTCAGGGAAGTGTCGTGGCACCGCAACTGAAGCTGCCACCTGCGGCGCCGGCACCCCCCCCCCCCAATATGGGTGCCAGTTTGTGTTCTGGCTGTTCTACTTCTGATCCAGCTCCTTGCCAATGGCCTGAGAAAGTCGCGGAGGATGGCTCACATGGGAGACCCACTGGCTACCCACATGGGAGACCCAGATGAAGCTCCTGGCTCCTGGCTTCAGCCTGGCCCAGCCCCAGCCGTTGTAGCCAATTGGGGAGTGAACCAGCAGATGGAAGATCAATCTCTCTCCCTCTCTCTCTCTCTCTTTATCTCTCTCTCTCTCTCCCCATAACTTTGACTTTCAAAGAAACAAATGAATCTTTAAAAAGAATTCCTAGCAGTCACCAGGGTGAGTCACAGGTTCACCCTTGGACTGGTCCTGTCCTGCGGTGTTAGTTTGTTGGGGACTATAATCTATAATCTATAATCTCCACCAGCTTCTCACGCATGTCTTCATCACATCACAGATGCGACTCTGACCTGGGCGCGGACCCTGGGGCCTGCCCCTAGAGCCCTCCCCCTGCTGTCCACAGGCATCGCTTTGAGGGGCCGAGAAGTCTGTGCTGTCCTCCTGGACCCAAACACCTGGTGTGAGCTCGCCTGTGCTGAGGTCCCCTGGCCTTGGAGCTGCTGCCCACCCTTCCTCCGGAAGCTGTCACCATCTAGCGCGCGCCCGCTGCTCGCTCCCCAGACAGGCCGAGGGGAGGGGTCCAGCGACCCCAGCTCCCTCCCATCGCTGTGCATGTTTCTGCTGCCCACGGGGTCCTGCCTGCCCGCCTCAAGGCGGGAGCTGGGAGCAGCCTCTTCTCTCCAGGCCTTTTGCTCATCTGTAGTGGGGTGGGACGGGGGAAGTAGAGGCAGCAGAGCTCGTGGCTTAAGTTCAGGATCCCAGCCCCACCGCTCCCTAACGGAGGGGACTGGGTCGAGTGCCTGCCGCTGGCTGAGCCTGGGGAGCCTCAGAGTGAAACGGACACAGCGAGAGGACCTACCTCCGAGGGGCGTGGGGAGGATTCGGCCGATTCCTGCATGTGACGCATTTCGCACAACGCCTGGCGAGGAGAGGGTGGGCGTGGTGGGGGAGCAGCCAGGCCAGAGCCAGGCCCGGCAGCCAGAGGGGGCGCGCAGCAACGCAGATGCCCCGGGGCGCCACACAGCGGGAAGCGCTGGCCCCTTCTCGGCAGCCCTGCCTGGCTCCTGGTTGGCCCGCAGGTGGGTTCGCTGCTGTGCCTCTTCCCGAGGGTTGGGGACAGGGAGGCCCCTTGTCACTGTGCAGTGTCCCCCAAGAGCAGCAGCTGAATAGATGCTGGGGCCCGACCCCTGGGCCACCTGACTGTGCTCCCAGTGGGTGTTTGGTGGCATTTCCTTCAGTGGGGAAGACACGGGCACTGGACTGGAAGCTGCAATGTGGAGCAGGGCTTGGTTCTGAGTGGAGAAAGGATCCCTCGTCTAAGATGGGGATTCCAAGGCGGGGGTGTGCTGGGAGCAGAGCTAATGGGCTCGCAGGGGAGCCGGAGCCTTGTTCCCCGAGGCCCCCCAGTCTCAGGGCGAGGGCGGCCGTTTCTGCGGACAGGCGGGGCCTGGGGCCTTTACCTGAGGCCTGTTGCTTTTACACGCGTCGTCCAGGTGCTTGTGCCACAGTATTGCATGGAATCGGGAGCCAGTCTGGAACTTGTAAACATTGCCTGGGGGGCAGAGAAACCACTGGTTACCGAGAGGGGTACCTGGCAGGTCGGCCTGTGCCTGTGACGGGAGGGAAACAGGGGACTAAACCTAGGGAGCTCAGCCGCAGCCCCCTCCCCCGCACCGCCTCCTGGGAACGGGCTCAGAGCCATGCTTCGGGCCCCGGTGCCTCTGGCTATCTGGTGGAGCCCGGCCGTTACACATGCGTAATGTAAAGTGCACAGCACATCTGCAGTCCTGTGGAACCAAGGGGTGACGCACTGCACGCAGGCTGCTGTGTTCACGCACTGACTGTGAGGACCAAGGCAGCCCTGGCGCTGTGCTGTGCTTTCACAGAGCATAAATGGGGTTTCAACGCATCGGCGACATGGGTGACTTCCCTGGGACACTGCTACATTTTGGTTTGGGGTTTACACTCACAGTGGATGGGTTCAGAGGTCACTGAGCGTTAACTAAGACGTGACTTCTTCCCTGCTCCGGCTCTCGGGCCCCTTGGATTCTACTCACTGACCCTGGCCACCCCTGCGTCACCTTCCCTCTGCGTGGGGACAATGCCTTCCTCCGGCATTCCAAGGTCCCTTGGCTGGCACCGCTGTGCACTGAGCACCGCCTAGGGGCTTGCTATGAATGCAAGGGTCTGGGTCTCTGTCCCAGATCTGCCGACTCCAGGTCTGAACTGCAGCAAGACCCCGGGGTTGTGTACGCACGGGACCCTAAGCTCAGATCCTAAGCTCAGTATTCCTGCTGGGGGGCTTTCCAGGCCGCAGTCAGAACCTAGGACCTGGGCAGCCTGGGAGCTTTGCCACGCCCCTCTTCCCCAGCAAGGTTGTGGGGGGAGGGTGGGACCAGAGACACTGGGAGATAGCGGGGAAGGTCAAGTTAGAGCTTCTGGTAGACACAGGTTTCCGCCCTGGGTTGTCTGTGGACTTGTACAGCCTCCTGGCACAGGCATGCTGAGGTGGGGGTCTCCCAAGAGCCACAGCGCTTCTAGCCACCATGTGGCCTGCCCTGTGCAGCTTCACGTTATTTACTGAGAGACCCTGAAGTTACTGCTCCAGCGGTGATGGGTCCCGGCAGCCACAGGTAAGGCCCACAGCCCCACATCCTGCACACGGCCGCCATGCCCTAAGCAGTGTCCTGGACAGCGAGGGGCCGGGTGAGCAGCGGCACCCGGAGCGCTGCATGGCTGCAGAACGCACTCTCGGCGGGCACGGAGGCGGGAGCGAGGGGAGGGCGGCTCGCTCCGCTGCCCACCTTTGTCAGGGTTGTTCAGCTGGAAGACGTCCGGGTGCGCGGGGTCGTCGGGCAGCTGTGCCATCCAGCCCACGATGGACACCTTCTTGCCGGGCGTGGATTTGTACTGGAGGAAAGTGACAGAGGCGGAGGCCCGGGTCTGGGGCCATCCCTTCACAGGGAGGCTGATCTGGGCCGAGCCAGGCTCCTTCCCATCCCCACCCCCATCCCCGCAGGCCGCCCAGCTCCCTCCTCTGCTAGCCCGAGCCCCACCCGGGAGTCCTCGCACGACACTTACGTGTTTCCGGTCTGTGCCCCGCAAGGACTTGGCTCCGTAGTACAGCAGGGTGGATCCTGAGAGAATGACCCAGTACCTGGTCCACGAGGACAGCTACAGAGGAAGGCGAGGCACAGTGACCACAATCTGGGCCGTGGTGGGGATGGCGTGGCCCCCGGCTGCCCGATTACCCGCCCTGCAGCCCTGCCGATGCCGGCGCAGGCCTCAGGCTCCCCAGCCCTCCGCCATCTGCCGGCAATGCCAACTCCAGCCAGGGCCAGGAGGCAGGCAGGCTCCTCCTCACTCCCTAAGTCCTCCTTTCTGAAGGCAGGGCCAGGACACCTCTCCTACTTGTTTAGGTGACCTGGGCCTCAGAGGGCCCTAGGAAAGGCACGTTAGCACCCACACACGCTACCCTGAGGCCCAGAGGGAGCCCCCACGTGTCCTCTGGGGTGGGGGGGCACTATTCTGTCCTGATTTCTGGATGTAGCAATGGAGGCTCTTCCCACTCGGGGCACGGCCAGGGCTGGCCCCAGGCCCCTTGCTGCTGCCTCTGCTGCAGGTGCGCCTGCACTCACCGCGGGCTTCCGGCCCTCCTTGAGCAGGGTTTTCCTTCTCAGAGGTCCCTCTATGGTGGGCACGGCCGTCGAGCTCCCCAGGGTGCAGATGCAGGGACCTGTGGGGCTGAGGGAGACGCAGTCAGGTGCGGCCTTGGAACTCCCCTGGGTTCCCAGGGGCCCCGTTGCTAAGGCCATGCTGTTGCTGCAGGCAGAGCCCCACCAGGGCTGGGGCGAGGCCAGGGGGCAGGGGTCAAGGCCACCGGAGAGCACAAAGGTCTGCTGGCAGCTGAGTGCTGCTGTCCCTGTCTTCCTGAGGGCTGCGAAGCTCCAGGCTCAGGCACCAAGTGCCCCACAGCCCTGCCCCTGGCAGCCCCCTACCCAATCCTGACACCTCCGCCGTGGCTTCCTCCTGGCCATGTCCAGGGCTCACACCTGCAGGTTTCCTCTGCACCTGGGAACAGCAGGCCTTGCAGCCTCAGCTCTGGCAGTGGGGACGAGGCAGAGGGACGGGCGGACTGGGAGGAGGGAGGAGGGACGGAGCCAAGGCCACCATGGCCAGCTCCTCCTCCAGCTCTTCCTCCCACCCTTTCCCTTGGGGATCAGGCGCCACCTACAGGCAAGGATATCCAAGTGCACGGCCAGCCCAGCCCTCTCCCATGCCCAGATCTGCATCTGCTGCCGGGGCTGGAGGCACCTCAGCCATCGCGCCTTCTCCCCACGCCTGCCCACAGCTCGAGCACCAACATTGGGGTTTCTTCTTTCTTCCCTGCCCTCACAGCCTAAGCAATCCCAAGACGTACTGAGTCTGCCTCTACTTTTCCACCTTAGGCCCCTGGATCTTCGGACGGCTGCTCAGTGCTGTCCTGCGTCCACTCTTGCCTTCTTCCTGAGCCCTCTCCACACTGTGGCCAAGATCAAGGTCATGCCACCACCTGCTCCTCCCCACCCAATGGCTCCTCCCTGCTTTTTAAGGTATGGGTTCCAGCCTCATTTTGGGCCCCCTCCCCTCTCATTCCTTACAACACTGGTGACCCTTCCCCCGCCCTTGGAATCACCTTCACTTCCTGCCTCATGGCCCCTGGGTTGTCCCTTTGGCTGGGGACATTTCCCCTACTTGGGACTTCCCGTTATTTGGCCAGTTCCTTCCACTCTTCCGGTCTTCGCCCACATCGCCTCTCTGGGGTGTTGCTCACAGACGCAGCCTCTAGCTACGTGCCTGGCACCCAGCAAGCACCCAGACAAATAAATGAGTACCTGTAGACGCAGCTCCGGGTCCTGGGAGAATTCCGAACCGGAACCCGCCAGTTAGGCCCCAGCGTGGCATAGAGACGTCCCCTGCTTCAGAGGAAAAGCGCTGAATTTTAGCAACAGCCCGGGAAGACCAGACACTCCCCAAGGCGCCTGGATGGCCATTAGCTCAGGAAAGCCTGTGGTCACCCTCCCCGATCCCTGCCCCAGGCCCCCGCGTCCCTACAAGTTCATCTGGGGCACGGCTGGAGCTGCCTGCTCAGTGCACGCGACACTCCTCAGAGCCCGCGTGCCGTCTCCACCTCCACGCTCTTTTTCTCATTAACTTGTATCCAGTACTCCCTCCCTTCCCCCTTCCCCCAGTGTGAGGCTGAGATGTTTCACAGGAGTCGGTGGCCGGCCTGTAAGGCCATGGAAAAGCAGACACAGAGTTGCAGACGACCTCGCACGCCGGGCCGGGCGTAGGTGCAGCATCACCAGGACACAGCTGAATTCCGCACGCCACGTCCTCAGCGGACAGGCTCCTTGGCCACCGCCCAGCAAACCCCGCGCCGCTCCAGGAGCTCCCCGCGGGCTGCCCAGCTGGCCTTTCTCTCGCCCGTCCTCCCCAGCGTGGGTCTTCCCAGGAGGACGTGCAGCTTCCCGCTCCACTGCTTTCGGGGAAGGCGGCACCCTTTCCCGTCTTAGAAGCCTCCCTTCCTGGGGTGGGTGCGTGGTGCGGGGCTTGAGCCACTTCTTCACTCACGTCCTGTATCGGAGGGCCTGGCTTCAGGTCCCGGCTCTGCTCCTGACTCCAGCTTCCAGCTAATGCAGACCCCGGGAGGCAGCGGTAATGGCTCGAGGACTGCACTCCTTGCCATCCATGTGGGAGACCTGGACTGAATTCCCGGCTCCTGGCTTTGGCCTGGCCCAACCCTGGCTATTGCAGGCATTTGGGAAGTGAACCAGTGGATGGAAGACCTCTCCCTTCCTCACTCTTTCTCTGTCTCGTCCTACAAACGAGTGAATGAAAACTCACTTTCTGCACGAACACGAGGCTCCGCCTCTCAAGCCCCCTGCAGCACGTCTACCCCTCAGCTGTCTGCTGGCCAGAAGGTGAAGAAACCCCTTTTGTTGAGTCAGACAAGGTCTGCACCTCCTTTCCGAACAATCCGTGTTCTTCGCAGCGAGTCCTGCGCTGCCGCTCGTTGCCCATCACCAGCCACGTGTGGGGACATCCACACGCACAGCAGGTGCACTGCATACCCCTGAGCCCAGGGCCTCCATCCTCCACCCAGAAAAGAACCGTTCTTGTCTGGCACTGAGGGCCCAGTCTCCAGGGGCCCAAATTCAGGAGTGGAGGGAGTGCACTGGCCCTCCAGGGTGGCTGCCCCAGGACCCTCCCCCTCTGCCCACCATGTGCTCAACCCCCCAACTCCTCTAATGTTACAGGTCCTCATGACGGTCATGGGCTGACACCCCCTTCTCCCCCCCACCCCGGTGAGCTAGGACACAGATGAGACGCCCTGGTATGCTCAACTCCCAGCCCATGGGCCAGGCCGGACAACCTCCACCGCCTCCACCCTCTCCTCCCCTAAGAAAGGGGCTGGGCTGTGTGAGCGAGTTCCACGCTCTACAGGAAGCCAGGAGCCGCGGTGATTCAGATCCAGGGGAAGCACCCGCAGATGCCAGGACTCTCCCCTACGATGGAAGCACCTGCCAGAGCCAGGCCAGAGCCCCGCGCCGAGCACAAGAGGTCACAGCCCCGCGCCGAGCACTGCCAGGGCTGACAGTGAGCTTCTCTGTGTGACGTCTTCATGGCGCCGTCTCTTCCCCTCTTCTCCTGAGCCCAGAGCAGTGCGTGAGCATGGGGACTGTGTGCAGGCACCTGTGGTTCCTCAGTCGGGCCTGTGGCCAGTGCCACCACCTTCTTTCCATCCTTCTCCCCGTGCTGCGTGGTGAGGAGACGTGCGGCAGAACCGGCATTTATCCACAGACAGCCCGAAACCAGCGACTTCTAAGCAGTCTGGCCTTGTAGACAGCCTCTCCTCATGTCCTCCCGGGCTGGAGGACTGACGGGGAGTGCAGGGCGCTGGGGGTCGCAGGCAGACCCAGGGGCCACTGCGTAGTTCATGCTCACGGTGCCTGCTTGCTGACCAGAGCTTTGCTTAGGACCATGTCCCCCGTCCCCCACTAGAGGAAGCCAGGATTTGAGCCTAGGTCTGTCCAGCTCCATAGCCTGGGTGGAGGGAGAGGCAGAGGGGTTGACGCGGCACGGTCTGCCACTAGGACTGGGACTGGGACCATGTCTGGAGGCGCCCACCCCAGGGTCACCCCCGGCCTTCCGCAGGTCTCCCTGGGCTTGCTCAGTGTCTGTTATGCTGCGTGGCTACTCGATGCTGTGGCCCTGGGCTCTCCTGGGGTGGCGTGCTTCCACATTCCCTGGCAGCTTTGGCTGCCTGGCACTTAGGGCAGCACCCTCTCGACCACTGCTTACCATGAGCCAGCAAGTGCTCCTGCCACGAGCCCCAGCCCCGGGGAGGGGCAGTTATCTTGCCCTGTTTTCTAGGACACTGAGGCTCGGGGAGGCAAAGCCACTTGTCCCAGCTGTCATTAGGGATGGAGATGTAAGTTCCCCCCAGCGGGACGCGCACTTCCCCACGTGGGCCAAGGGCCTGAGCCACTGTGGCTGCTCCAGGCTGACGAGGCCAGAGTCACGGTGACCTTCCCCAGGCCAAGCCTTCAGGGGAAGAGAGTTAGGGGGCTAGTGACCAGCCACGTGAGCCCCATGGTGCCAGAGGAGGGCGTGATGGGCTGGGGGGCTCCAGCGGGTCCAGGTAATCTGGCCACTTCCTGCTTTGACAAGACTCGGGAGCTGAAAGCTTGGGGCCAGCAAACACCAAAGGAATGAGTAGTGGCAGCAGGTGAACCCCAGAAGTCACACAACTTCTCGGACTGCCATGGGGGCTCCCCCAGACCAGCTCCCTTTCCCACTGTCACTCTGGCAACACGTGGCTGAACACAATGTGTCCCAGGAAGGCCATGGGACACGAGACTATCATCTCCTTTCAGGTGCAGCTCACTGGGGAAGACAAAGCTGGCAACCAGGTCTGTACCCAGGGTGTGCAGGATGACGACGACGATGATGATGGCGATGAAGGTGGTGGTGACGGTGACAGTGGTGGTGACGGTGAAGGGTGGCAGGCACAGTACTCAGCAGTATTCATTCATTATCTCACTTCATCACACCACTCGGTGAGGTTGGTGCTGTTAGGATCCCCCTGAGGCTTGGAGGGGTGGAGCCACTTGCCCAAGGTCACGCCATCAGGAGCAGGAAGGGTAGGGGGTGCTGTTGAGGCGCAGGCAACCGGGGTAGAGTAGGCCAACAGCACCACGGGCATTCAGACCAGCCCAAGTGAGTCTGAAAGGCACCGCCCCCCGCCATCATATTCTAGGGTGCAGATCTCCTGGGGGTTAAAGGTCACAAGGCTCTGAGTCCCCGTTGCTAGTCTAGGGGGCTGGGGAATGGAGGGCAGTCTCGGATAATAGCCACGCTGAAGCCTCGGTCATCTTGTTCCTAGCAGAGGGAGGGCTCCCCACCCGCACCCTTGCTCAAGCGCAGAGAGGCCCTGGTCGGAGTGCACCCGTGGAAGTGGCCAGGTGATGCTGCTCATCCACCTGCACCTGCAAACCCCTGATGGGAAGCAGTCCCATGAAGCTTTGTCTGGCCTTGGCTACTTCCTGTTGACTCACCCTCATCTGCAGGCAGGAAGCTGCCACCCTGAACTGTGCTGGCCCTGGGAGGCCCCTGGCCCCAGGCAGTGCTCTGGGAGGCCCTTGACTCCCTGCGAGCCGCACCCCTCCCTGGCCCAGCTGTAGCCTGGACAGCGTGCCTGATTCACGCGGCAGGTCCCTGGGAGCCACACTTGTACGCCAGGCCTCCATCCTTCTGAACAACACACAATCCAGCCAAGTTCACCAGATTTTCTCTTCTGGCAGAACTGGACAGGAGCGGCTTCAGGTCAGGCCTCGGGGCCAGGGTCAGCCTGGGAGCTGCAGCACGGACCGCTCTGCATGCTGACAAGTGTGGAGTCTGGCCTGCAGCGAGCGGGGAGGACAGACACAGGCGTGGCAGAGCCCTGCCCACCTCCAAGGCACTGACTCTGGAGCAGGTGAGGCCCGAGGCAGGGGTGCTGCGGGCAGAGGCTTCTCGGTTCCCCGAGCAGCGGCAGCAGCGGACCGGCAGGGCCCAGCCCTGTCTGCAGGGCCAAGGACAGAGGCAAGCACCAGGCTGTGGGCCCAGGGCCCAGGGATCTTCACTCCTTCGGAGAGTCTGCTGGAGGGGCCTCACTCGCCAGGGATCGAGGCAGAGGTTGCTTTTTGTGCATGGGGAGGGGCATGGGGAGGGTGGGCATAAACAGAAGCTTGGCAAATTGTTTCACACGGCCACCACCCCCAGGGGCTGGGCAGAGCCCCAGATTCAGGTACAGGACAGCAGGAGAGGCGCCAAGTGTCTGCGGCAGCCTCCCCGGGGACCCTCCCCACCCTTCACTGCCACCCCAAAGGCCAGCGTGGGCTCCGAGACCGCCTTCAGTCCTGTCCGTCTGTCCCGTCATGGCTGTACCGGAACCCCTGGGTGGCTTTCCTGCCGGTGGGAGGTCCCCATGGGGGGAAAGTCATCAACACCCGAGCGGCCACGTGTATCCTCTCTACAGAGCTGCGCACTGGGCTCAGGGAGGCTGAGGCCGTGCGGTCCCGACTGTGGCGGGAGACACACGGGGACTTGCGAGGTCGGCACACATCCGGGCCCCTCTCTCCAAGAGACCCCAGACACTGCTGGGCCCCACTCCCATTCCACACGACTCAAGGCTCCTGGGGCCTCCACTTGGTCCCCGCGGGCTGCTTGTCGGAGCCTCCCGCTGCACCCTGTAGGCCGCCTGTTGGAGCTTCCTGCTGCACCCTGAGTGTGAGCTTTGCCACCCCTGATGCGCCCACCTATTTCCTCCACAGCCCCGAGAGCGCTGCGCCGCCAGTGCGCCATCTTCCCTCCCCTCCCCTCTCCCACTGAAGGGGCTTCCTCTGCCGCTTAGTGCCCCCCCCACACGCACACACTATGGGCTGTCTCTCTTGCGTGACAAGACCCTCAGCAGAGCCTGGCGACTCTGAGGCCTTGGGGAGGCGGTGGCCACGTGCTCTGTGACACATACGTCATTTCTGGCTGTGTTCCTTTCAAAAAAGCGGAATATTTGTTTTCTGGGTAGAACAGCAACACTTGCCCAAGGTGGGAAATTTGGAGACTACAGGAGATGAAGGAAAGAAGTTCCTTCAGCAACCCCAGGGCTGGGTGATGGTCAGGAGGATGAAGCTCCCACACACGCAGGCGCTGGCCTCTCAAGCGTCCGTCCCGCCCTAGAAACAAACCGCCTGCGCCTCTCTGGGAAGATCCTGACCAGCCAGCACCTCTCCCTGCAGCTGCTGCTGCAAACGCCCCCTCCTCTCACTTCTCAGGAGCAGGGGGCTCTAGGGCCTGCCTGGGAGCCCTGCCCCGCCCCTCCCCGCCGGCCCCTGCCACTCCCCGGCCTTGGGCCACTCCCCGCCCCCTTTGTCCCCATAGCTCTGGGGCGTCAGGTGGATCACAGGGAAGAGTGGGCCCACTCCCTGGGCCCAGACCACTGCGCTGTCCACACTCTGGGCCCTGAGGACAGGAGAGGGTCTTCAGGGCCACCCAGGAGCAGAGAAACGACCCCCACACGACTCCCTGGGTCTGCCCGCTCCTCCCCAGCCCTGCAGGCCTGTGGCCTTGCTGGAGCTGACGTGGAGGAGGGGACAGGTGGAGCAAGGACAGGGTTAGTGCTGCGCCCCCCACCCCCACCCCGACCCTCCCCACAGAGCAGTGCAGGGGCCCATGGGCTCAGGGACACCGTGCAGGTGCTCTTGAAGGCCGGCCACTTGGAGGACACAGTGGACACATGTGGCCTGAGCTCTGGCTGCCACCGAGGGCTGCCTTCGGCCACCAGGCTGAGCAGCCCAGGTGCGAAAACTCAGGGGAGGCAAACTCCACAGATGGGGCCAAAGAAGCCCACCGAGGCTGGACGATGCCCCCTCCTGCCTGCCTGTTCACAGGGGCATGAATGGTGACCCAGGGGTGGCCCTGAGCCAGCAGACAGGCACGTGCTGCGGGGCCACTGGCCAGGTGGCCCTGCCTTTGCTCGTGGTATCTGCCTCCATTTCTCTTCTGGGCCTGAACTAAGCTTGTTACAAGGAATGGGTCTCTGGAGAAGGTCAAAGGTCATGACCCCCCCCAGCTTTGGCACTGTCAGGCAAGGTGCTGCTCCCCCCCCCCCCCCCCCGCCAGGCTCTTCCCCTCTCAAGTGGGCCCCGCCTCCTCTGTCCCTGGCTCTGGTTCCTGTGCCCGCAGGTGTTAACAGTGCAGGGTGCGCAGCGCCTGAGGGAGCAGCGGGCGGTCTCCGGGCAGGGGGCTGCACTGGCTGACATCCAGGCTCCTGGGGGAGGGGGCAGGACTATTTCCCCTGGGGGAGATGCACGGCTGCGTGCTGGGTGGTGCGGTGGCAGCGGGAGAAGGGAGCGACGCCGAGGGAGGACTTTCGGGCTGCGAGAGCCGAGCCCTCCCTCCTGCTCTCCCAGGGATCTGTGCGTCCCGCCTGCTGACAGCACGGTCTCTCTAGGGAGGACAAGTAGAGGCCAGAGTGGAATGGAAATGGGGGCTGGTGGTCAAGCCACGGGAGCTGGGGCTATGGCTCGATGGGAGAGGACCCCCTTGAAGCAGGGGGTCTCCTGATCCCCCCAGCAAGGAGCAGGTGGCCCTGAAGGCTGCTGGAGAGGCCAGGGGCAGGGCTGGCCATCAGCCTCTGCTCCGAGGGGCTCCCACCCAACTAAGTGCTCGCTGTGGACAGAAAGAGGGTGACCTAGCTGCAGCCACAGGCCGAGGCACCACGCCCTGCACAGTAGCTCTGCCCTGAGGCACGGGGCCTTGGCATGGCTGTCTCTGCTACACCCGGAGCAGCCAGTGCACTCTCCGGCCGGACACAGCTGCTTCCTAAACAGCTACCGGATGAATGGGTGAGTGAGTGAATGAACGATGGACAAGTGAAGAATGAGCGCATGAACGGACAGGTCCAGCTCTGGTTGCTCTTCCCATCTCAGCCTGTGCCTGCCTTTCCCGTCTGATGTCCTCGCTGGCCTGTGTCAGGGCAGATGCTGGCCTGCCTGTCGCCCTCTCCCCAGGAGACGCCTGGCTGGGGCTCAGAGCTCTCCTCCCTGGGCTGGGGTGGCTCCCTGGCTGGGGCTGCCTAAGCTCCCCTAAGGGGAATGGAGCCAGCGGCCTCCGGGAGTCTGGAGGCCCGGGTGTCCAGGGGGAAGGAGCCTCTGAGGTGCGTCCATGGCCTCGGGCCGCCACGCCAGCCCTCCATGTGCGTGAATGGTGAGCATGAACAGCTGTATGCGGGAGAGTGTCAGCATGTGAGCATGCTTGCGTGGGCGTGTACGTTGTGACAGTGTGTGTGTGAGAGTGAGCCAATGTGTGTCTGTGCACACAAGCATCTGTGTGGGATGTGTGTGCAAGAGTGAGAGCGTGTAGTGTGTCTGCACACGTTAGTGTGTGACTATGTGTGCAGCTCTTGGATGCTGGAGGAGGGGCAGACCCGCCTCTTGTGTCACTTGGCCTCCCCTCAGCCCTGAGTCTCCAGGTGGTCCCTTTACCCATGGTGGTGCCACGCTGTGGGAGCGCCCGTTCACGGTGTCTCCTATCTCCCAGAAGCCCTGGCACTGGCCCAGAAAAGCACTGTTTGTGGAGCCCTTGAAGTGGGGGAGCCCCTTTGCCCAGTGTGGTGTAGGGCAACGCTGGCCACCTCCTGGTATCCCTTGGGGGTGGTGGTAAAAGTGCCTCAGGCTGTGTAGGTGCAACCCCCGCAGGGCCCAGCAGGCGGAGCCATGTGCTCACTTCAAGTCTAGTCGGTTCCCAGGCTTCCAGTTTCCAGACCCCAGCCCGTAGCCAACCTGCTCCCAGGACTCCTGCCGCAGCCCCCGGGGCCAGCGCCCAGAGCGGAGGTGCCACGAGGCCGCTCGGAGCATGGGGGCTCACACCCCCAGGCCACCCCGCTCCTCTGCCCGCCAGGCTGACGGAGGAGCCACAGAGCAGCAGTCCCTGCGCGGGGCCTGTCCTCAGCTCCCTGGGGCCCTGCCACCACCCGAGAGGGAGGCCGTGCTGAGGCCACACTCACCTTTCCAGCCCTGTGGACACCTCTTCACTAAACTCTGAGCTCTCACTACTGCCTGGAAAAGGAACACAGACCATGAGCAAGGCGGCCTCGCGGTGGGGCCCAGGCCTCCAAGAATGAAGCTGCTGCGAGGGACAGTGTCCTGGCCGGACAGTGCTTCCCGCTGCCTGCCCACTGCCGGCTCCAGCCTCAAGCCTCCAGCTGGGCCTCACCCCACGAGCACCTCAGGGCCTGACACATGCTGGCCACGGGGAGGACCCCGCAGACCCCTGGCCCTGCAGCTCCTTCCCTCTGCCTGCCCCCAGCTTCTCTGGGGCTCTAAGACCTCTGCAAGCAGGGGCTTTCTCCTGTCACTCAAGCACCCGCACCCATGGCCTCTGGGCTCTGTCTGGAACCATGGAGGCTCCAAGGTTCAGGGCTCTGTGTGGGCAAGAGCAGCAAGGCCGGGCAGGGAGAAAGGAAGGTGCCTTCGGGCTAAGGGGGTGGCCTGGGCTGGCACCAAACAGGCAGGTGCACACAGCCCACACGAGGCCTTCAGCCGTGAACTGAGAAGCACTAGAGCTCCCCGTCCGAGGGGTTGGGGCCCCGATGGCCCTGTGATCTCCCTCCCGCGTGGACACTGGCCAGCAGAGCCTCGGACTCAGTGTTGTGCCTCAGGAAGAGAAGGCCTGGGCCCAGGCGAGCTCACAGCTGCCCGGTTGTGAAGCGGCTGCTCCGCCGTCCAGCCAGGAGCCGTGGACCGGCACTTCCTGAGCACGTCCTGCAGTAGCCCAGTCCCATCGGACACCAGGAAAGAGGGTTCCACGGCCAAGGCCTGGAGGACCCAGAGACCCTGGAGGGCTCCCAGTGCCCATACGCCTGTCAAACTTGTATATCCCAGCCCCTTCCCACCACGCCAGGCCCAGAACCCTCCTTCCAAGGCTCCCTGAGAACCTCGCCCGGGGAAGCACTGTCCTAAGCTGCTGTGCACCCAGATGGGGGTCCACACAGGGCGGCCTCCGCTGAGGACGGAAGGCGGACAGGGAACTCGCTGTTACAGACCTCCGGGGGTGAGGCCCACGGCCTCTGGGACCGGCCCAGCTGCACGGGAATGTGAGATGTAAGATTCCTGCCTGGTTGCCTTTCCCTACCCCCACTGCTTCCCACGTGCACTGCGGCCCTCACCAGGTCAAGTCCCCAGCTTGGCAACGGCCTAACCCGTGGCTATAGCCAGCGGGGGTCTCTGATAGGGGAGCAGACAGACACACAGCACGCAGACTGCAGAAGCTCTGATGGCCACAATGACAGGGTGGTCCCCCCTGCTCTCAGTTGTCCTGGGCACTGCAGGGGGACGGCTCTGTGACTAGAGCCCAGCGCTGGCCTCCACCCTCACCTCAGCCTCTCCCTGCGGCACCAGGGGCCCTGCCTGGCGTCCGTTCTGGCAGGTGCTCAGTGCTGCAGGCTCTCGGAAAGCCGCCTTCCCCTCCCTGCTCTGGTAAGGACACACGGGGAACCCAGCAGCCCACCGGGCTGCCGCCTGAGCAGGTGCTGGAGCTCACGGCTCCCCCAGGGACAGAAGTGCCACTGGGGCAGCAGCCGGGTCTCGAGCACAGGTCCTGCCGCTTCTTCCACTTCTCTGCTGTACTAGGGGCTACCAACAGGCTGGGGACATCCCTAGGGAGCCCCCAAGGCTGGGAAGGGGGCCTCTTCTGCAGGGGGCGAGGGGCCACAGGGTTCCTCAGAGCGACAGTGCCACCACGTGCGGCAGTGACACAGAGACAGACACGGAGCACACGCCGGACCTGTGGCCCCCGCCTGTGGTGTGCAGGCTGGAGACGCTTACCTAGGGAGAGTCCATTGGTGACGGCGGTGGAGGAGGTGAGGGTGAGGCCCCTGCGGGGGCTGCGGGACTCTAGGACGCTGTCGTCCAGCAGGTGCCTGGCCTTCTCCGACGGGAACGTCGCGCTCTTACTCTCAACTACACTCAACTGACACATCATACTGGAAAACGGAAAGGAAGAGCGGGCGCGTCTGCCCCGGGTTTCTGGGCCCAAGGCGGCGCAGCTGCGCGGGGCGGCCCCGGGCTCTGCCCCTCTGGCGGCGCGACATTGGGCAAGTCACATCCTCTGTCCGAGCCCCAGTTCCTCCCTCCGCCGAGCCCTGCCTGTCTCCCTGGGCGATGAGGTGGCTCCAGGGAGCACGTGGGTGATGAGGCCATGGGTTTGGAGTCACACACACACCTGGTCCAGACCCTGGTACCAGCTTCCTCGCCGCTGCAAGGGTCTCCACCTTGCGGCCTCTCCTCAAGTCCCTCTTAAATGTGTGTGATGAGCGCACCTGCCTCCGAGGCCTGCGGGGGGGACAGATCTGCCCACCCCCACCCAGGGCCCACCTGGGCTGCTTCTGCCTCAGCAGGGAGAGGAAGGGAGGGAGAGAAGGAGCAGGGCAGGAAGGAGATGGGGAGGAGGGAGGGACGGGGCCACTTGCTTAGGGGCCTGTGCCCAGTGCCCCGGGAGCACCAGGGTGGCCGAGGACCCAGCTGGGAGCCCCGTGCAGACAGTGAGCCAGCAGGTTCTCTCTCTGCAGGCAGACACCGGGAGACACGTCACACTGCCCCAGGTGACAAGTCACTGATGCCCACAGGACACTGGGTTTCATCCCAAGTGAGTCACTCACTGAGCTTGGGCCAATTTTCTAGAGTCCGACCATTGCCTCCCTGCCCTCTTCCTATAAGAGCAGCTGAGCTGAGATGCCAAACTGTGCTGCCACAGTGCCCCTCGCCTCCCCCCCAGGCCCCACCAGCCTCAGGAGCATGCCCTAGGCAGGGGCACCAAGAATTCCCGTCGACGGCTCCCTAGTGGGGTCGGGGGACCCCAGCCTAAACTGCAGCCCAGATGAAGCCCCGGGGGGCCGCTCATCACCCACTTGTTGCCCAGGCTGTGGCTCTTCCTGTGTCTGGGGACTGGAGGTGTGGGGAGGCTGCCGGCCACGGATGCGTCAGGACAGGTGGGCCTCCTGCTGAATCTAGCCGAACTGGAGCCTGCTGAGGGGCCTGCAAACAGAGCAGAGAGAGACCATGGGGTCCAGGTGGGGGTGGGGGGCTGTGGAGGCCCAGAGGACAAGGGTCTTGGGGTTTGAGATAAGGCACCAGGCTGGCTGCCATGGATGAGCCAAGAACTGAGCCTGGTATCTTTCTCTCCCAATACAATTGACTTTTTTTTTTTTTTTGACAGGCAGAGTGGACAGTGAGAGAGAGAGACAGAGAGAAAGGTCTTCCTTTGCCGTTGGTTCACCCTCCAATGGCCGCCGCGGCCGGCGCGCTGTGGCCGGCGCACCGTGCTGATCCGATGGCAGGAGCTAGGTGCTTCTCCGGGTCTCCCATGGGGTGCAGGGCCCAAGCACTTGGGCCATCCTCCACTGCCTTCCCGGGCCACAGCAGAGAGCTGGCCTGGAAGAGGGGCAACCGGGACAGAATCCGGCGCCCCAACCGGGACTAGATCTCGGGGTGCTGGCGCCGCTAGGTGTAGGATTAGCCTAGTGAGCCACGGCGCCGGCCACAATTGACTCTTAAGGCTAACAACCAACTGTCAGGCTGGCCGGGCCCTGCTCTGCACGGTGCCCGCTGGCTGAGCAGCCCCAGTGGCTAGTACAGAGCAGTATGGCACAGTCACCCGTCCTTCCCCGGTGAGTGGCCAAATGGGGACCCCCAAGTGCTCCTTCTGCCTTCGAGCCCATGCCCCGGCCTGAACACATCCACCTGCTGCCCCAGCTGCTCACTTAGCACCCAGGGCCCAGCTGTGGACCTGCTGGGCAAGGATGTGGCTGGACACATCCTGAGCCTAGGCCTGCCCCTGACTGCTTGGACATCCTTGGACAGGCCTCAATTTCCTCATCTGAGAAGTAGGGATAATTCAACACACCTTGCAGGAGGGTGGGAGGAGCTGACGAGGCATCCACACTTTTTTCATGGTCCCGGTCATTGCCATACCCTGCCCGGCCCACCCCTTGGGGTTGACAGCAGGTCATCAGAGCTGGGATTTGGGGCCACAGATTCCCTGAGCACAGGACGTGGAGACCAAGGCCTTCTCGCTGGCCATGTCCTCGGCTCCCTCCGGAGGGATGTGGCTGTGGCTGACGTGTCCTTCCTCAGTTTCGGTGGCTTGGGAAGGCAGGTGTTTCAAGGAGGGCCCAGGTGCTAGTCTCACCCCGGCTTTCTGGTCAGACACCAGGACGGGATCCAGGGCTTCCAGAGACAGCAGCCGGGCGGGTCACCCCGAGCTCCAGGCCCTCCACCTCAAGACCCCGTGGAACCACAAGGGGCGCAAGGCCAATGGCTTGGGCCGCCCTCCTTTTGGAGTCTACGAGGATGCCCACACCCCCAGCAGGGACACTGCGCACGTCTGGCCTCCTCGGCGTTCAGAGATCACCAGGCGCGGCGCTGCACCACCTCGTCTGGCTCCTGCTGCTGGCCCTGTTCTCACTTGGCCCCTGCTGTCTTTCCTGCAGCCCCGCCTCCGGCCCTGCCCATGCACTTGGTTCTGCCTCCAACCCCTGGTAGAAGTAGTGGCCACTTTTCTCTCTGCTCCCCTTTAGCCGCAACTCCTAGACCACGCTTCGCCTCCGTGAGAAAGCTGCCACATTGTTAGGCTTGCTGTCGCTCACATCTGCCCACGCAGTGGGCACACGCACCTCCCCGCCAGGCCTGGGAGCAGGGTCCCCTGTCCAGGGCTGACCTCTCCTCTCTGGTCCCAGCATCACCTTGCCCTTCTCTGTCTTGCAGCTGAGAGACAAGCCCGAGCCTCTTTTTTTTCTTTTTCTTTTTTTTTTTTGACAGGCAGAGTTAGGCAGTGAGAGAGAGAGAGAGAGACAGAGAGAAAGGTCTTCCTTCGTTGGTTCACCCCCCAAATGGCCGCTACTGCTGGCGCACTGCGCAGATCTGAAACCAGGAGCCAGGTGTTTCCTCCTGGTCTCCCATGTGGGTGCAGGGCCCAAGCACTTGGGCCATCCTCCACTGCACTCCCGGGCCACAGCAGAGAGTTGGCCTGGAAGAGGAGCAACTGAGACAGAATCCAGCGCCCCGACCGGGACTAGAACCCGGGGTGCTGGTGCCGCAGGCGGAGGATTAGCCTAGTGAACCGCGGTGCTGGCCGCCCTAGCCTTTTGCCCTGTGCCCCCAGGTCCCCCCCTAGGCTGTCAGGCTTCCCCTACAGGAGGCCTGCTCCTCCACCTGCCGCTCCGCCCCTGCACACAGGATGGCGTCTCCAGCCCGACTTCTGTGCCAGGGCCGTTCCAGCCGCCTCCTTTCTGCCAAACTGAGGAGGGCTCCTCGGCCTTCTCCCCAGAGCCCTTGGTGCCTGGAGCTCCCCTGTGCTTCCTGGGGCGGGGGCCGTGACACCACGCTCCCCTGCTCCTCCCCCAACCGCGCCTGTGGCTGTTACCGCTCCTCCATGGGCCCCACACCCTGGAGTCCTCTGCACAGGCCTCCGTCTTTGGCTCCAGTTGTGATCTGATCAGACCCACTGCCCACCCCTAGGTCTCTACTGCGGTCCCCTGTACGCATTCGCACCCAGCTGTTTCGGCGTAAGCCCTCCATCCCGCCATCCCGACACCCCACGTTCAGTGCTGCCAGGGCTGCATCTGGTGCCTCCTTCGGGGTTTCAGCATTGGCTGGAGCCACCACTGGCCTCTCACTCGCTCACGCAGCGTGGGGTCACCCTGTGCTCCGCCCAGCTCTGAGTGGCCTTTCTGCACTTGCCACACCATCACTAAGGCCCCCGATTTTGGACCCCTCCCTGTCTACCTCTGTTGTCACTGACTGGGGTCCCACACTTAACTCTCCCTGCCTCACCTGACACTCTCAGTCCAATACCTCAACCCCATTCAGCTCCATCAGAGTCTGAAAGATGACAAACGGACCCTGTTGTCTCCTTGCTGGAAACGCCCATGACACGTTGTACCAGGTCCTGTCGGACCCCGTCCTTTAAGCTGATATTTTGAAACGCTGATGGGAGAGGAAAGAGGAAGAGCAGCCAGGACAGTTCTCGAGGACAGTGTAGGACTCGCCCTTCAGGCGTCAGCAGCAAGAGGACGCAGCTGTCACGTGAACGGCTTCCCCCGGGCTCCACGTGGAAAACAGACTTCCAAACAGCCACGTTCGAGTCCCGGCTGCCCTGCTTCTGGTCCAGCTGCCTGCTATGCCTGGGGAAGCAGCACAGGATGGCCCCAGTGCTCGGGCCGCTGCACCCGCGTGGGAGACCTGGATGGAGTCCCAGGCTCCTGGCTTCGGCCTGCCTCAGCCCTGGCTGTTGCAGACATGCAGGGAGTGAATCAGTGGATGGCAGACCTCTGTCTCTCCCTCTCAGTTTGTAACTCTGCCTTTCGAATAAATAAATAAAACGACAGCAAAATAAATGCTGAGGGAGGAGTATGAGAGGAGGTGTCTGGCATCCATACAACCACCAATGGCTCAGTAGTCCACGCAGCAAGCTTCCAACACCAGTAAGGAGATCAGCCACGCAGGGGGAACAGGCAACGGACCCAGAAGGGGCATTCACAGAAGAGCAAGTCCACGTGGCCAGCGGCCACCAGGAAAGGCGCTCAACCCCACAGTGCCGGGAGGACAAACCAGAGTGAACGTGAGATGTGGTTCTACTCAAACATAGGGCTAAAAAACAAAACACAAAAAATACCGCAAATTAGCCTGAGAGTCCCTCGTGCTGGCAAGGACGTGGAGGGACAGGAAGTCCAGTCTGGGGCCCAGCTGGGAGCAGCACACTTGGAAAGCAGTTGGTGGCACTGAACATGTCTTCTTGATGTGGTGGCTCCAGTTCTAGCACCTGCCCGAGGGACGTTCGTGTGCCATCAAAGGGTGCCCAGCGTAGCACCGGGCAGCAAGGCTGAAAGGGAGAGGCTACCTCCCTGGTCCTCAGACAGCTGTGGTCTACTTGAGTCAACAAATTCTACAGGGCTGGGGGCAGGGAGGACGGAATGGCAGAGGAGAGAGAGGTGGGGAGGGCAAGAAGGAGTGACTGGATGCACACGGGTATCAATACGGGTAGACCATAGAAACGTGCTCAGGGCCAGCATGGAGGCGCAGTGGCTAAGCTGCCACCTGCGGTGCCGGCATCCCATGTCAGAGCACCAGTTTGAGTCCCGGCTGCTCTGCTTCCTACCCAGTTCCCTGCTAATGGCTTGGGAAAACAGTAGAAGATGGTTCAAGTGCTTGGGCCCCTGCCACCCATGTGGGAGACCAGGATGAAGCTCTGGGCTCCTGACTTCAGCCTGGCCCAGTGTCAGCCATTGCTGCCATTTGTGGATTGAATCAGTGGATGAGAGATCTCTCTCTCTCTAACTCTGCCTTTCAAATAAATAAAATACATCTCCAAAAAATAAATAAATTAAAACGTGTGCTCCGTGGAAAGAGCAGGCTGCCAGAGACAGTTGATGGCATAATGCCACATATGCCAAATTTTTAGAAGCACACAAAACAGCAGTGGTATGTTTATACATAAGAATACAAGAAGAATAAGCCATCATGATATTGGGACAGTGGGGAACCGCAGGGAAGAAAAGGGAGGAGGCAGGATGGGGGTGAACAGGTTTTCCCCATGCATATACGAAGCAAACACGGCACAAATGCTAACTTCTGTTAAATAGGGATGGTGGGCACCTGGGTATCAGATATTTCATTCTTTAAAATGAGAATACTTTAAAAATACTGGACACCTGCCCTGTACTGGATATTCTGCTAGGCGCTGTGCCGGAATCTTCCATCTGCCAACCCACCTCTGTCTTCCACCCCTGGGCCTCGGACAGGGGGCTGCTCTGTGGGTTGGGGGCCGGTGGCAGGGTGGCCATTGCTGCCTCCCTGTGGGCCGCCCCCGAGAGGCATCGTCTGACTCCCGCTGGCCTTGGCATGGCTTCTGATCCCACTATTTCTAAGCCTGGGGTGCTGCACTGTCCCGCAGGGCTCCCCTCTACCCTGTCCACATCTTTGCAAACTGTCCCGCTGTGAAAGCCACCTGGTCCCGCCTCTACCCTGCAGCCCCTTCA